GGCAGAGGCGGTGCTGAGGGCCAGGGTTTGGGGGTGGGATGGCAGGGGTAGGGGGGCGGGTGGGCTGGGGGAGCTTCAAGGGCTTCGCCAACCCAAATGATTCTGTGATTCTATGATTCTATTCTATGAAGAGCTGGGATTCCCAAGCGTTGCGGGGAGAAGGTGCGTCAGGGGGCACCACGTTGCAGGAACGCTCTCGTGGGGATAACTGAGCTTGGGCTTCAGTAAAACCAGGCAAGGGCATCCGCTCAGGAGAGATTTCAGAGTCTTTTGCACCCACCGAAGAACAGGGAATGGTGCTCACCCCTAAACACATATTTTCTGGGTCAAAATAGACAGTGGATAGGCAAGAACAATCCTGCAGGAGCTGCAGAGTCTCCTCCCTCCACGCAAATAGCCAAGCAGACACTTTGACCGTGCTCAGAGAGCTCGCTCTTCCCTGCCTGCCCACAGGGAGGGACGGCACGCTCGACAGAGCTGATCAAGGTCAAGGACCCTCCTCAGGCCAGGCGGGATGAAAACTCACCTTCCATACCTGCACAGCGCACGGAAAAGCAGCGTCAGCCCTCAGACGCTCTTGGATTTCAAAGCGACGCCATCCTGGTACCCAAGGCCCATCACCACCCCCCTTCATTTTCCAATAGAGATACTCACCAGCACCTCGAAGAGGAGCGACAGTAACTTGCTGTTTGCCATGAAGGTGCTGTCCAGGACCCCCAGGTTGAACCAGCTCCCCAAGCACCGGAAGATTTTGATGAGCATCTTCTCATCGTTGCCTGCTTTCTCCACGCACGTCATCTATGGCAGGACAGGGAAGAACTGCTCAGGACCCCAACCTCCGACACGTGATTCCACAAGCAAAATAATAAATGACTTTTGGAAACACATCCTGGAGTCGCTACAATGAGCATCAAGAACTCCCCCCCGAATCTTAGCAACACTGGGGGGCCCGGGACAGTCAGCAGCGACCCCTCTGAGAGGCACGCACCGCTGTCGGCAAGCGTCGTACCTACGTGGAAGCAGCGCTCTGACCAGAGGACACCCGAGGATTGCCCACGCCAGCAGAGGGGACTTCTGCATCTACCCAGGGCGAGCGTGTCCCCACGCTTTGTAGGCAGGAACGTGACAGTTCTGCAAGCGTCCTCTCAAGAGCACGGGGACTTGGAGCATCCTCTTGAGGTTCACGTGAAGCATGCTTGAGAAAGCAGACTGCTTCCAACACCCCCATCCCTGAGCAACATAGCCCCGGACCTGGTGAGATGGGGACGCAGAGCCACAAACCTCTCATAGAATCATAGAATCACTTTGGTTGGAAAAGCCCTTTGAGATCATCGAGTCCAACCTTTAACCTAACCCTGCCATCCCACCCCCAAACCCTGGCCCTCAGCACCTCATCCATCCTTCTTTTAAATCCCCCCAGGGATGGGGACTCGACCACCTCCCTGGGCAGCCCATTCCAGAGCCTGACAGCCCTTTCGGGGAAGAAGTTTTTCCTAATATCTAACCTAAACCTGCCCTGGCACAGCTTCAAACCATCCCCCCCCGTCCTATCATCTGTTACCAGGGAGCAGAGGCCGCCCCCCCCCTCCCTACAGCCTCCTCTCAGGCAGTTGTAGAGGGCGATCAGGGCTCCCCTCAGCCTCCTCTGCTCCAGACGAAACACCCCCAGTTCCCCCAGCCGCTCCTCGTATGAGTCTCAGTCAACTTCAGCTGCTGTTACGGAAGCGAGAAAAGCAGTTTTGAGCGTTTTCATTCATTCCCAGCCCATCGGTTTTCTGCAGTCTCAGGCCGGCGAAGCCGCGACACGAATGAATTCCATCCGTGCTAAAGCTCTAAACTCACTCCAACCTCCCTTTAGTATCCCTCACCGCAAAAGAACCGCTGCCGGAGAGATGATCAGTCCCGAGGGTCAGACCTACCCCAAAGCCAACCTGAGGACAGTCCGAACACACCATTGCGGGGTCAGAGAGGGGACGGCGGGTCTGGCAGCAGCCAGCCCCCATTCCCAGCGATGGCCAAGGCTTCTGCCACGCAACAGCGCCCAACAGCAACCCTTCCCAAAACTAATGCCAAAGGAAGCCCCAGCCTCGCCAGGCTGAGGGAAAGGAAGAACTGGTGGAAAGGCAGGACCTGAAGAAGGATCCTGCAATCCCTTCTCCCCAGGAGAGAGCCTGGAACGGCCAAGAAATCCCACAGAAGAGCTTCCAGAGGTCCTCACTCCTTGCCTGACACTTCAATCCTTGACTTCAGCAAGGCTTTTGGCACTGTCTCCCATAACATCCTCATAGGGAAGCGCAGGAAGCGTGGGCTGGATGAGTGGACAGTGAGGTGGATTGGGAACTGGCTGCAGGGCAGAGCTCAGAGGGTTCTGGTTGGCGGGACAGAGTCCACTTGGAGGCCGGTAGCTCATGGGGTTCCCCAGGGCTCAGAGCTCAGCCCAGTCTTGTTCAACTTCTCCATCCATGACCTGGACGAGGGGACAGAGCGTACCCTCAGCACGTTCACTGAGGACACCAAACTGGGAGGAGCGGCTGACGCACCGGGAGGCTGCGCTGCCATCCAGCGGGACCTGGCCAGGCTGGAGAGTTGGGCGGAGAGGAACCTGATGGAGTTCAACAAGGGCAAGTGTTGGGTGCTGCCCCTGGGGAGATCAAACCCCATGCACCAGGACAGGTTGGGGGCTGACCTGCTGGGAAGCAGCTCTGCCCAGAGGGACCGCAACAAGGATGATGAGGGGACTGGAGCATCTCCCCTAGGAGGAAAGGCTGAGGGAGCTGGGCTTGTTCAGCCTGGAGAAGAGAAGGCTGAGAGGGGATCTCATCAACACTTACAAATATCTCAAGGGTGGGGGTCACAGGGACGGAGCCAGACTCTTCCCAGTGGTGCCCAGCGCCAGGACAAGGGGCCATGGGCACAACCTGAAGCAGAAGAGGTTCCAGTTGAACGGGAGGAAGAACTTGTTGACTGTGAGGGTGCCCGAGCCCTGGCCCAGGCTGCCCAGGGGGGCTGTGGAGTCTCCTTCTCTGGAGATCTTCAACCCCCGCCTGGCCGCTGTCCTGTGCCCCCTGCTCTGGGTGAGCCTGCTTGGGCAGGGGGGTGGCACTGGGGGAGCTCTGGGGGGCCCTGCCAGCCCCGGCCATGCTGGGATTGTGTGATTCTGTGAAGGCAGAATGTTGGACTTCACCACAGTCCCTGTACAATTGTTTTAACCCCCCACTCTGTAACTCAAGGAAGTGAATTTTACACTTCAATCCGATGCAGAAAATTTTAATTTTGCTCTTCAGGCAGGCAGTTGAAACGCCCGTGCTGGGATTTATCCCGAAAGCTCCAGGCCGGTGCAGAGGAAGCCTTGAACAGAAAGTCTTACGACAGGGCTACCACCCTCGGCGATCCAACACCGGCGCCTCGCATCGTCTCCAGTAAGGCTGCGAGCAACCGGAGCGAGGTGACGTTGCCTGTCTCACCGATGTGACAGCCAGACTTCTCCGAGACGTCCTAGGAGGAGAGCTGGGGATGGCTCGGAGCGATGGCACGGCACGAGGATTCGAGGAAGGTGAAGAAGAGTTTCAGAACTGAGGGAGGATTTGTTCAAAGAGAACTAAGCCTATGGAAAAAGCGGAGTCGGGCTCCCCTAATGGCTGTGGTGGTAACAGCACGGACCTCTGCTGTGATAAATACAGCTCAAGGGGGGAAGAGTGTCTACTCAAGCAAGACCTGAGCTCCTGCTGAGCAGGGCACGTGGCTCAACTCAGCGTCCTGATACACGGGACGAGGGGCACCGGCCTCAAGTTGTGCCAGGGCAGGGTGAGGTTGGCCATGGGGAACAATTCCTTCCCCTTGGGGGCAGGGGCGGGGCTGAGGGCCGGGGTTTGGGGGTGGGATGGCAGGGGTAGGGGGGCGGTTGGGCTGGGGGAGCTTCAAGGGCTTTGCCAACCCAAACGATTCCATCATCACAACCCCCTTTCCTTCGGAGTTACCAGAGTAATTCCAGAAAACAAATCCTCCTTCCCAGCCCTCTGCGGGAAAAGCCAGATCCAGACATTGCACAGACATGAAACACCTACCAGACGTACCTGCCACGCTCTGTACCAGTGACTCTCTGTGGCTTCCTTAACCACAGACCCAGAAAAAGCAGCATGGAAACAGAACGGGGATCTTCTGCAAAGGTTTCAGGCCCGGCGCAAACCTAAACAGAGCCCGCCTTAGCTCTACTCCCCCCCTTTTCTCCAAATTAAACAAAGGAAAACTGCTGGGGGTGGCGTTGGTGTTGGGTCCCACCAGAGAAGGGGACTCGGGGAGGGACTGCGGGTAACATCTGCGAGGCAGGAGGGGATGGGTGATGACGGTTACACGAGCCTGGAGGAAGGCGAAGGGGCGCACTGCGAGAAGCGAGGCTTCTCCGGGCGGAGAATTCGACCCCAGGGAGAGCGTCCCCCTTCTCTCTGGCTCCCCAGAGCAAGGCCAGAGCCCTCCGCTTGTGCCTGTGCGGCGCCCTACCGGGGACGTGCGAAGAGGCTGCACGCTAGAGATAGAAAAGAGAAGAGGAAGTATGAATCAAGGAGAGGAGAAGATGGTCACGAGTCAAACCAACACCCTGCAGCTTGGCGCATCGACGAGAGGGAAATCGAAACGACAGTCTAACAGCAAAGGGTAGGCATGCATCAACGGCGAGACCAAAATGCCCTAATTCGGAGAAACGGCGTAAAAAAGCGCAGCCAAAGCATGGGTCATTGCATGTGGATGAAGTACGGAGGAGCCTAAGGTTCCTTCCATCTTCAACAGCTACAATTCTATTATCGAGGGAACACGGAGAAGAGGCCAACAGGGCAAGGGGGGGGTGGATGGAAGGGACGCGGAGATGCCAGGGCAGCCAAGCACGGGGCTGCAGAGCCCCTACCGGGGACGTGCGAAGAGGCTGCACGCTAGAGATAGAAAAGAGAAGAGGAAGTATGAATCAAGGAGAGGAGAAGATGGTCACGTGTCAAACCAACGCCCTGCAGCTTGGCGCATCGACGAGAGGGAAATCGAAACGACAGTCTAACAGCAAAGGGTAGGCATGCATCAACGGCGAGACCAAAATGCCCTAATTCGGAGAAACGGCGTAAAAAAGCGCAGCCAAAGCATGGGTCATTGCATGTGGATGAAGTACGGAGGAGCCTAAGGTTCCTTCCGTCTTCAACAGCTACAATTCCATTAACGAGGGAACACGGAGCAGAGGCCAACAGGGCAAGGGGGGGGTGGATGGAAGGGACGCGGAGACGCCGGGGCAGCCAAGCACGGGGCTGCAGAGCAGAGAGGCGACTGCTGACGAGATGCCGCGATTAAAAGCACCAAACCTCGGCCCCACCTGGAACCTGGCGACCTGGACAGGCTGGAGAGGTGGGGCCTGTGTGAACCTCATGAGGTTCAACAAGGCCAACTGCAAGGTCCTGCCCCTGGGTCGGGGTAACCCCCAGTATCCATACAGGCTGGGGGAAGAGAGGATGGGGGGCAGCCCTGCCCAGAGGGACTTGGGGGTACTGATGGATGAAAAGCTGGGCATGAGCCGGCAATGTGCGCTGGCAGCCCAGAAGGCCAACCG